AGGGTCAAATTGATTCTAATGGTGGAGGATATAGCCAAGCAGGGAATCAGAATTGGAAATAGAGTTGCCCACAGTGGAATCAGGTGAAATAGATTGAGAGTTGCTCATAATGGTCTAGAAAAAAGAAAAAAGAAGAGGACCTTGCAAACTAGAGGGCTTATTAGTGACCCAAATTTTTCCTAGGGCATCTCCCTGGAAAAATTCTTGGCCCAGACTGAGGTCTCTGGGAGCATCCCCTCTTTAAGCCTCAGACTTAGTCTGTCAGATGGCTCTGACCTTAGAAAGGTGCCAGCACCACTATAGAATGGTTCCCTCCACCACTGATGACCTACTATGAGTTTTTTTTTTTTTTTTTTTAATTTTTTTTGAGACAGAGTCTCACTCTGTTGCCCAGGCTGGAGTGCAGTAGCATGATCCTGGCTCACTGCAACCTCTGCCTCCTGAATTCAAGTGATTCTCCTGCCTCAGCCTCCTGAGTAGCTGGTATTACAGGTGCGTGCCACAATGCAAGGCTAATTTTTTTGTATTTTTAGTTGGTCAGGCAGGTCTCAAACCCCTGACCTCATGATCCGCCCGCCTTGGTGTCCCAAAGTGCTGGGATTACAGGCATGAGCCACTGCACCCGGCCTACTATGAGCTTTTTTTAAGGCTTATCTATCCCATTTAAAGCAACCCTTTCTCTCTCTCAACTTAGGCAATAATACATTTTCTTTCATAAAATCCCCCCTCCATCACGCACCTCACAGACCACCTGCAACATGCTTGGACCCTCTGACTTATATAACCTTTTTGCATAGCTAGGTGGGTTTTCTGTCCATAGCTAGTTGAGTGGGGGAAGGGAAGAATTTAGCATAAGAAAAGAAGGTTTCAGTCACCTCAAATGTGTGAGTTCACCCTGGGCAAACTGCCACTGCCAACTGTGTCACATGTAGGGATCAGGGACTATAACCAGAAAGGATAGAAAATCTTTCCCCCTTCTGGGCAGGACAGCCAGCCTGTTTGCCCCTTGGCCTTCCGAGAACATCAGAGAGTGGCTCTGGCTAGTTCCACTCAATTACCAACAGCTACTAGAAAATGGCTGCTGAAAGACTGAAAAAGGAGAAAAGGAAAAGATCTCAGAAAACAGACAAAAACAATAGGACTCAGAAAAAGGAAAAAAAAAAAAAAAAAGGTCTCAGGTCCCTCACCCAGACTGAGAGGTGGCAGTCAGGCGCTTCCACATGGGAACCTTTCAGTTTCATCAAAAAGTGGCCCTGGCCAGAAACTTGCAGTTGTCTTCATGCTTAGGCACTGTCCACCAAGGGTCCTGAGTAGGAAAGGAAAAGAGGGAGAGAGAGAGAAAGAGAGAAAGAAAAAGACTTCCCTGTATGTAAAAGGAGAAAGGAAAAAAATTAAGTCCCATACTTTCGGCCTACCTCCTCTCCTGCCTGGCTCACCAAAATAAGTTACCAGTAGAAGGTCTTGACTGCAGGTTATCCAGGTTCTTGGCCTTTTGAACAAAGAATTGGATGAAACAGCAAAGCAAGAAAAGAATGAAGCAACAAAGGAACAAAACGGGTTTATTGAAAATGAAATTATACTCTGCAGTGTGAAAGTGGGCCCGAACAATGGCTTAAGGTCCCAGACACAGAATTTTCTTGGGTTCAAATATCTCCTAGAGGTTTCCCATTGGCCACTTGGTGCTCACCTCATGTAAATGAAGTGGTGGCCCACAATTGCTCTGATTAGTTGCAGAAAGCAACCAATCAGAGGCTGAAGCAAAGTTACAAAGGTCGCAGTCCTCTGCAAATATCCGATTGGTTGCAAAAACAACCAATCAGAGGCTAAGGTGAAGTTATAAAGTGTCAGTTTTATTCAAATAGAGACTCAGCCCACAATCAGTCTGATTGGTTGTGGACAGGCAATTTCCTATCTGCCTCACGGAAACGGTGGGGATTTGCAAAGGCAATCCTCTGGTCTTTTTGTTACTTAGGCATGGAAAGTTAGTTTTCCTTTCCATTTAGGTCTAGGAATTCGGTATGAAATGGTCTTAGGTTCCCTGCCTCCAGACCCTATTCTCCTGCCTCATTAGTACATGTGTACCTCATGGTTTCCAAATGCAGACTTATTTAGACGTTGCTGCTTTCTGCTTATTCTGTAAACTTTAAAGAGCCAGCAAAGAATATGAAAATTGGTAGTCTTCATTTGAGAAATATTTGTGTTGTGACAAGAGTGCTGAGTGTAAGGGACTCCATGCTGTGCCTGCTTTCTCTAATGCTAATACATGAGCCCCAGAGGAGCAATGTCAGCATTGATAGGGAACATTAATGGGTTTAAAATACCCATTAATGGCTGACTGCTGTGGCTCATGCCTGTAATCCCAGCACTTTGGGAGGCCAAGTTGGGTGAATCAGTAGAGGTCTGGAGTTTGAGATCATCCTGACTGGTGAAACTCTGCCTCTACTAAAAATACACAAAAAATTAGCTGCTTGTGGTGGCAAGCACCTACGTAATCCCAGCTACTCAGAAGGCTGAGGCAGGAGAATCACTTGAACCCAGGGGACGGAGGTTGCAGTGAGTCGAGAGCCTGCCACTGCACTCCATCCTGCACTACAGAGCGACACTCCATCACACACACACACACACAACCCAAAAAACAAAAAAAAAATTCATGAACGCTAAGTCTGCAGAATTACATCACAGAGAGTGGGGCCATAGTTTCCAAGTATTTTTTAAGCTCATTAAAGCTTTAAAGGCAATGCCCAGCTAAGTGGTTTTCAGCCCAGGTTTGATTTTTTTTTTTTTTTTGAGGCGGAATCTCACTCTGTGCCCAGACTGGAGTGCAGTGGTGTGATTTCAGCTCACTGCAACCTCCACCTCCTGGGTTCAAGCGATTCTCCTGCCTCAGCCTCCTGAGTACCTGGGATTATAAGCAAGCACCACCACGCTTGGCTAATTTTTGTATTTTTGGTAGAGACGGGGTTTCACCATGGTGGCCAGGCTGGTCAAGAACTTCTGACCTCAAGTGATTCGCCACCCCCCAGCCTTGGCCTCCCAAAGTGCTGGGATTACAGGTGTGAGGCACCATGCCCAGCCCAGGTTTCTAATTAAGATTACATGGCCATGGCCAATTTGCAGAAATACCTACTTGTGCCCTATCCATGGGTCTGTTTATTCTTCTGGGCGGAGGTATCATGTTTTGTTTTTTGTTTTTGAGATGGAGTCTCACTGTGTTGCTCAGGCTGGAGTACAGTGGCCCGACCTCCGGGCACTGCAACATTCGCCTGCCATGTTTAAGCGATTCTCATGCCTCTGCCTTCCACGTAGCTGAGATTACTGGTGCATACCATTATGCCTGGCTAATTTGTGTATTTTTAGTAGAGATGGGGTTTTGCCATGTTGGCCAGGTTGTTCTCAAACTCCTGGCCTCAAGTGATCTGCCCACCTCGGCCTCCCAAAGTGCTGCAATTACAAGTGTGAGCCACTGTTCCCACCCACGTTGTTTTAATTAAGTGCCTCATGTGACTCTAACGTGAGCCCAAAATCAAGTATGAGGGGTTCAAGATACATTCATGAGAGTTAAGTTCCACCTTTCCTCTAAAGAATGGTCAAAGGGCTGGTTCTGTTTGGTTTGGTAGTGACAGAAAAGTGTGGCTCGTATTTTCATTGCTGTAGCAGAAATTGCTGGTGTCCATGGCAGGGCAGGGCACCTGAGGACAGAAGGAAAGAAACTTTTACTTTTATCTCCATGGAGCAGCTCATGGTTCCTGAATCTCTTCTGGTATGAAGGACAGAAATGGGTGGACTTTTTCAGTTAGTCTTGGTCCTTCTGCCTGTGGGTATGATAGGAGCAGGTAAACATGTGGTACTGATACCTTTAAAGGCATATTCTAAAGATGCAGGTGTAATTTGTCCAGAGAATCACATCTGAAAAGAATTTTCAGAGAAAGGAAAAGATGGCTTTTTTTCAGTTAAACATGTCTCAGATCAAGAGCTGTGTCCACTCTGCCTCCTGGAATGCCATGCGTTTACTTTGACTTCTCTACTTGTGTTTTTTCTCCCTAATGAGTTTGTTTTAACTACTTCTAAAAACTCTTACGATAGTCAAGACTCTGAAAAATATTTCTTTTCTATATACCAGAGCCTTCTCTACATCATGGCTTCTTATATGCCATGCAGAATTCTCACCATTATTTTATGATCTGCAATATTAAAAATGTTGCCTGTGGCTGTTGAACATGGGAAGGTGTAGATACTCAAGATTCCTATTGGGAAAACCTGGGGTCCTTAGTAAAAATGGGGAACATGTAATGTTGAGGTTCCATCTGTGTTCTCAATTAGCTATTATTTAAACAAGATAGCATTTATTACACAGAAGCTTCTGAAGCACTCAAAAAGGTACATGTTTGTGTTTATGTCCTTAATTATATATATATTGTTTGTTGTTTTTTTGTTTTTTTGTTTGAGACGGAGTCTCACTCTTGTTGCCCATGCTGGAGTGCAATGGCACGATCTCAGCTCACTGCAACTTCCACTCACCACAGCCTCCACCTCCCAGGTTCAAGCGATTCTCATGATTTGCCTGCCTCTGCCTCCTGAGTAGCTGGGATTACACACATGCGCCACCACGCCTGGCTAATTTTGTATTTTTAGTGGAGGTGGGGTTTCTCCATGTTGGTCAAGTGGGTCTTGGAACTCCCGACCTCAGGTGATCCGCCTGCCTCGGCCTCCCAAAGTGCTGGGTTTACAGGCATGAGCCATTGTGCATGACCTATTGTATATATTATTATCCATAAAATTATTATATATACACTGGTGTTGTGGCTCTTGTGCCACTGTTTTCTCAGGGTTAGAGAACACATAAGGAAATATTTCTGTGTAAAAAAATTGATTTTATTGGATAATTTCAGTCACTCCTGTAAATCAGAAGCAGTTCTCATTACTCTCTCATTTTACCTTGAGTCAAATTATAATCTCTGTTGGCTACCTCGTGAATATGTTTGTGTGTATGTGTTTTTCAGGGACTGTTGACATTTAGGGATGTGGCCGTAGAATTCTCTCTGGAAGAATGGCAATGCCTGGACACTGCACAGCGGAATTTATATAAAAATGTGATTTTAGAGAACTACAGAAACCTGGTCTTCCTGGGTAAGGATAACTTCAACACACAGTTTCTTTTTGTTTTTCTTTTGAGACGGAGTCTGCCTCTGTCGCCAGGCTAGAGTGCAGTGGTACGATCTTGGCTCACTGCAACCTCTGCCTCCTGGGTTCAAGCGATTCTCGTGCCTCAGCCTTCCAAGTAGCTGGGACTACAGACGTGAGCCACCATGGCTGGCTAATTTTTTTTGTATTTTTGGTAGATACACGGTTTCACCATGTTGGCCAGGCGGGTATCGAACTCCTGACCTCAGGTTAACCACTTACCTTGGCCTCCCAAAGTGCTAGGATTACTGGTGTGAGCCACCATGCCTGTCCCAACACACAGTTTCTAATATACCGTAAAGGTTTCATTTCTCTTCTTTGTAGAATGTGTTTTGGTAATGTATGCTTTGAATAAATGAGTTTCAGATCCCTGTTTTTGAGAAAATCTTAAGGATTTGTCTGTATTGAGAAGAATTTCTTCAGTATGTTTCATCTTGATTTGAACTTACCACATTCCTGAGCTGATCTGTGTCCTTCACTCTAGATTAGTGGTAATTTCAGAAGTTTAGTGGCATAAAACATTGTTGCCCACACCTTCAAATCTAATTGCCAACACAAAGTTTTGATTCATAAGTAGTGGGTTATGAAATTAAGAACCTGCAAATTTAGAATATTTTCTAAGTATTTAAAAATTTGTTATAAGTCAGTATTGGGGGATTAATTTGCTATTCTATTACATTCTCTTTACTGAGCACATTACTAGGTTGGTAATTGGAGAATATGAGCAAGATTCATGTTATTTATTTTTTAATAAAACAGGTATTGCTGTCTCTAAGCCAGACCTGATCACCTGTCTGGAGCAAGAAAAAGAGCCTTTAACTATGCAGAGACATGAGATGGTAGATGAACCCCCAGGTAAGTGAGAGTGAAAGTGAATACAACAGGTGACAAAGATGAGAGGTCCAAAGGTCAAAGAGAAAACCAGTCCTTAAAATGTGATTTGGGAAGCTGTGTTTTAAAGGAAATAGTTTCTGGAAAGCCTGAGTATTTTTTGCGCTCACATTTGAGCGTTTTCTGTCTTATGCTTTTAAATTCTCTAAGGTTTCTATTTACATTTTTAGTAATTTCCCTTCAAGTTTTCAGTGAGAACCAATGTCCTCTTCATGGCATATAAGAGACTGCGCAATCTGAATCCTTACTCATTTGTTTTGGAGACACAGGAATATCTGCATAATTTTGAGAAACTCTATTAAATGATTTTTTAAGTTCTTTTTTTCCATCATGTCTGAAACGTGTGAGAAGTGTTTTCTATTGTTTTCTTTTCTTCTTCTTCTTCTTTTTTTTTTTTTTTTGAGACAGAGTCTTGGTGTCTTACTCTGTGGCCCAGGCTGGGGTGCAGTGCTACAGTCTCAACTCACTGTAACTTTTGCCTCTTGGGTTTAAGCAGTTCTCCTGTCTCAGCCTCCCAAATAGCTGGGATTACAAGCACATGGCCACCACGCCTGGCTAATTTTTTGTTTTTAGTAGAGATGGGGTTTCACTGTGTTGGCCAGGCTGGTCTCAAACTCTTGCCCTCAGGTGATTTGCTTTCCTTGCCTTCCCAAAGTGCTGGGATTACAGGTGTGAGCCACTATGCCCCGCCGCCCCCCCTTTTTTTTTTTTCCATTTTTCTACATATTTTATTTGTTTGTATTTCTGTAGTCTTCAAATGTAGTCTTGAAATTATAAAGGGCTGGGTGCAGTGGCTCAAGGGCCGGGCACGGTGGCTCACGCCTGTAATCCCAGCACTTTGGGAGGCCCAGGCGGGCAGATCAGGAGGTCAGATAAAAACTAGAAAGAAGCTTTCTGAGAAACTGCTTTGTGATGTGTGCATTCATCTCACAGAGATAAATCTTTTGATTCAGCAGTTTGGAAACCTGGCTAATATGGTGAAACCCCATCTCTACTAAAAATACAGAAAATTAGCTGGGTGTGGTGGCACACGCCTGTAATCCCAGCTACTCAGGAGGCTGAGGCAGGAGAATCACTTGAATCTGGGAGGTAGAAGTTACAGTGAGCCAGGATTGTGCCACTGCACTGCAGCCTGGCTATAGAGTGGTACTCCATCTCAAAAAGAAAAAAGAAAAGAAAATTATAAAGTATGATATCCTTCTGCTTTGTTTTTTTTTTCTCAAGGTTGCTTTGGCTATTTAAAGTATATCATAGTTTCATTTACATTTTAGAATTACATTTTTTATTACTGTGAAAAATGCCACTGGAATTTTGATAGGGAGTCTATTGAATCTATATATCATTTTGGATAACATGTCACTTTAACAGTATTTATTCTTTCAATTCATAGACATAAAATATTTTCAAATTTATTTATGTCTTTTCTAATATATTTCACTGATATATCTCTCACTGTAAAGACTTTGTACCTCCTTGGTTAAATTTGTTCTCAGAAATTTATTTTAATGCTATTGTAAATAAGATTTTTTTTTCTCTATTGTATCAGACAGTTTAGATTTATGGAACCCTAACTTGTATGTTAGTTTTATATTTTTCTAATTTACTGAGTGTATTTACAAGTTTTAATGTACTGTTTATGTTTATATATATATAATCGTATGAGCTACAGCTAGCAACTTTTTACTTATGTGTCTTCAATTTCAATTGCTCTTTTTCATTTTTTGACTAATTCTTTTGCCAGTACTTTCAGTGTTATGTTAAACTAGCAGCATTGACAATGAGCACAATATAGTTTTGCATTGGCATCTGTGTATAGAAGGAGAAAACAGCTCAAGTTTTTATAAACTGGTTTCAGAAGGTAAAGATCTTCTTTTGTTGGACCCTCAGGGTAATGGGATGCCCTCTGGTTTGTAGTGGAGAGGGCTTTGTCACAAGGCTGCTGGGTCTGCACTAGGGTCTACCCTTAGTTGGCTTGTCCTAAAAAACTTGGGTAGTTTAAATTCCCATTTTGGATAGACTGAATTTTGGCAGAGGATTTTGCTCTGTAGGGCAAACACTAGGGCAGGTTTTTGCAGTAGGGTCTGCATATGGTGGGCCTTATATCAGAATGTGGATGACTATGGCTTTCAGCGAGTACCAGAAGGGATCTTTCCAGGTCACTGTGTGGGTTTCTATATAGGCAGAACTGACTATAAACTGTGGCTCAGCGAGCTGGAACTGAGTCATTGAACTGCTTCAGGGACCACGGTAAAGGCTAAGGTCTGGAGGCCAGCTGACATGGCTATAAATGGGTATCTTCCTCCGGGCCTCTGGAAAAGCCGAATCTCTCCCAGACTTTGGCTGGGAGGAGTTTGGGATGATTACATAGTAAATTCAGAATTCTAGTGGGACCAAGTTGAGTGGGCCATTTCCTAGTCTGTAGTTAAGAACAGGGATCCTGTAGTTTGCACCTGAATGAGGGCCTGCCTTCTGAAAAGAAGACTTTAAAATATTGGGCTTTATCAGAATTCCACAACTCCCTCTCTCTCTGGATCTCAAAGCTCTCAAAGGCACTTATTTTGAGATGGAGTCTTGCTATGTACATAATTCAGGCTGATTTTGAAATCCTAACCTGAAGTCATTCTCTAAACTTAATATACCATGTATCTTTCATTACAGGTGTGAGTCATGATGCCTGGCCATCTCCTAAAGGCGTTTTTGTCAGGGATGGCTGACAAATTGTCTTGCTGTGCAGGAGATAACAAAATAGGTTACCTTTTATTCTCCCATCTTACTGATTTCACTCCTGCTATACATTTTTATTCTCCATTTTCTATTTCAATTTTGTCTGTAATTTTACATTTAGAAATTTAGAACAATATGCTAGAATTTACATGTAATGCCTGAAGTAAATTAGATAATTTGTAGGCACTCCATATTTACTAAAACTTTACTTATAAATTTAGGCTTGATGTAGGAAAAAAGAATTCTATGATTTGCACCCATTTTGTCCAGCCTATATCTAAATAATGTAATTTATTTGCAGATATTTATTTTATATATCAGACACTCTAACTATATTCTGCAATATATATTTTTTTATATATTTAACATATATATTTAGCATTATATATATTTATATATGTGAGTGTGTATATATATATATATAGCAATGTAAGGCTTTTTTTTGCTTCTAAAGTTGGATTACAGCAGTTTCATTTTGTGTAACAATAGCATATATTTAAAACATAAAATTTCTTTTCTTTTTTTTTTTTTTTTTTTGAGACAGAGTCTCACTCTGTCACCCAGCCTGAAGTTCAGTGGTACAATCTCTGCTCACTGCAACCTCCACCTCCCAGGTTCAAGCGATTCTCCTGTCTCAGTCTCCTGAGTAGCTGGGACTATAGGCACACACCACCATGCCCGGCTAATTTTTGTACTTTTAGTAGAGACGGGGTTCACCATGTTGGCCAGGCTGGTCTTGAACTCCTGACCTCGTGATCCATCCATCTGCCTCGGCCTCCCAAAGTTCTGATACAGATGTGAGCCACTGAGCCTGGCCCAAAATTGTCTTTTTTTTTTTTTGAGATGGAGTTTTGCTCCTGTTGCCCGGGCTGGAGTGCGATGGTGCAATCTCGACTCACTCCAACCTCTGCCTACCGGGTTTAAGCAATTCTCCTGCCTCAGCCTTCTAAATAGTTGGAATTACAGGCGCCCACCACCACACCTGGCTAATTTTTGTATTTTTAGTAGAGGCGGGGTTTTACAACGGTGGCCAGGCTGGTCTTAAACTTCTGAGTTCGGGTGGTCCACCTGCCTCGGCCTCCCAAAGTGCTGGGATTACAGGCGTGAGCCACTGCACCTGGCCTTCTTGTTTTTTTAAATGCTTATTTATTAAGTTTCTCATTAGAGTCTTTCATTTATGATAATACTGCATTTCCTTTGGAATTGTACTGCCATACAGTGCATGTCAAGGATTCAGCATACCTGCCTTCCATGAGTAGAGTTACAATCAAATGTTGCAGTTATCTGGACACATTATTATTTTTTAATTTATTTATTTTTCTTTTTCTGAGACAGAGTCTTGCTCTGTTGGCCAGGCTGGAGTGCAGTGGCACGATCTCAGCTCACTGCAACCTCCACCTCCCAGGTTCAAGAAATTCTCCTGCCTCCGCCTCCTGAGTATCTAGGATTATAGGTGTATACCACCATGCCTAGCTAATTTTTTTGTATTTTTAGTAGAGACAGGGTTTCACCGTGTTGCCCAGGCTGCTCTCGAACTTCTGAGCTTGTGATCCGCCTCCCAGAGTGCTGGGATTACAGGCGTGAGCCACTGCGTCTGGCCTAGACACATTTTTAATGCTACATCAGTGTTGCCTGCAAGATTTTATGAGTAAACATTTAACATTTATATATATTACGGTTTTGCCATTCCATATTAGTGTGTTTTTTCAGTTTGACATCTGTTTATTGTGTTTTTTTGTTTTACCATTTTAGACAATTTGCAATTGTTTGTACACTTTAAATCTATGGGATTTAATTAAGAAATAAATCAGCCATATATCTATCCCAGTCAGATTATATGTGTGTGTTAATAAATTTGACCCCAATTTTGGTTATGGCTTATCTGGTGTGTATTCTTTCTTAGCTGATTTTCAATGGTCGTTTTATCTTGTCTAAGTGATTAGTCATGGAGATAGTCTTTTTTTTTTTTTTTTTTTTTTTTTGAGATGGAGTTTCACTCTTGTTTCCCAGGCTGGAGTGCAATGGTGTGATCTCCAACCACCACAACCTCTGCCTCCCAGGTTCAAGTGATTCTCCTGCTTCAGCCTCCCGAGCAGCTGGGATTACAGGCATGCGCCACCACGCCCAGCTAATTTTTGTATTTTTAGTAGAGACGAGGTTTCTCCCTGTGGTAGGCTGGTCTCCAACTCCTGACCTCAGGCGATCCACCTGCCTCCCAGAGTACTGGGATTACAAGGCGTAAGCTACCACGCCCGGTGAGATAGTCTTATTTTCACCATGTGTTTAATAATAAATATATATTTCTTTTGTGCGAGAGAAACACTTTTGTGATTTGAAGATAATTTATGTAGAGATTCATAATTCCGTATGTTTTCCAGTTTTTCTTTTAAAAAAATTAATTGTAAAACCACATAAAATAAATTTTACCATCTAAAATCTATTGAAGTGTACATTTCAGGGCCAGGCATGGTGGTGGCTCACATCTTTGATCCCAGGATTTTGGGAGGCCAAGACAGGAGAATTGCTTGAGCCCAAAAGTATGGGACTAGCCTGGGAAATGTATGGAGATTCTCTGTTTACAAAAAATTTTTAAAAATAGCCAGGCGTGGTGGTGTACACCTGTGGTCCCAGCTTTTTGGTAGATTGGTGGTGCAGGATTACTTTAGCCTGGGAGTTTGAGGCTACAGTGAGCCATAATTGTTCCACTTTACTCAAACTTGGATGACAGTGAGAACCTGTCTCAAAAAAAACTGTACCTTTCAGGCATGGTTAGTATATTTGTATTCATCTTGTGAAACTAAAATTCAATACCCGTTAAGTAACAGCTGCCCATTTTATCCTCTCTCCAGCCCTTGACAAACACCATTGCACTTTCAGTGTGATTAATTAAGATATCTCATATAAGTGGAATCATATAGTATCCATCATTTTGTTACTGGCTTACTTCAGGTGACATAATATTCTCAAAGTTTTATCTTAAAATGTGACAAGATTTATTTAAGGCTGAATAATCCATTTGTGTGTGTATGTGTGTGTGTATATGTGTGTGAGTGTGTGTGTGTGTATATACATATACCTTTTTTTTTTTTTTTTGAGATGGAGTCTTTGTCACCCAGGCTGGAGTGCAGTAGCACTATCTCGGCTCACTGCAACCTCTGCCTCCTGGGTTCAAGTGATTCTCCTACCTCAGCCTCCTATGTAGCTGGGACCAGAGGCACATGCCACCACACCCAGCTAATTATTGTATTTTTAGTAGAGAAGGGGTTTCACCATGTTGGCCAGGCTGGTCCCAAACTCCTGACCTCAGGTAATCTGCCCACCTCAGCCTCCCAAAGTGCTAGGATTATAGGCATGAGCCACTGCTAATGGGATTTTTATAGAGATTATGTTGAATTTGTTCACCACTTTTGGTTGCATTGGCATTTTTGAAAAATTAAGTGTTTTGGCCCTTGAGCCAAGAATATGTTGAAGACTGTTTTATTTTGATATATTTTTCAATTTGCCAATTTTACTTTTGCTTTTAATTTTTTGTTTTATTCACTTTTGGTCAGAAGATGTTTATAATTTTGATCTTCCTAAATTTATTTATTGTTGCTGCTTGAGAGAAGATTTTACTGTGTCACTCAGGCTGGAGTGCAATGGCATAATGTTGCTCACTGCAGCCATAACCTCCCAGGCTCAAGTGATCCTTTTACCTCAGTCTCCCAAGTAGCTGGCACTACAGACGTGTCATGGCTACTACCATGCCTGGCTAATTTTTTGATTATTTGTAGGAACAGTGTCTTGCTATGTTGCCCAGACTGGTGTCAAATTTCTGGCCCAGCTGGGTCTTCCAAAGTGTTGAGATTGTAGGCATGAGCCACTGCACCTAGCCAGCATTCTTAAATTTAATAAGACTTGATTTGTGTCCTAACAGAATACACCAGGTGCAAATAAGAATATTGTGTATTCTCTTGATTTTGATTTAAAAGGTTTGTACAGGTCTGTTAAGCCTGTTTGGTCTGTGATGTGGCTTGGATGTCTGTGTTCTCCAAACCTCATATTGCAATGTAATCATCATTGTTGATTTGGGTCCTGATGGAAGGTGAATATGGGACCTACTGGGAGGTGCTTAGGTCATGAGGGAAAGTTCCTCATGAATGGCTTGGCACTATCCTCTTGATAATCAGTAAGTTTACGCTCTGTTAATTCAAGTAAGAGCTGGTTCATTAAAAAAAAAAAAAAAACCTGGCTTCTTTATCACACTTGCTTTGTATCTTACCATGTGATATGTTCAGTTAATCCGTGCATTCCACTATCATTGTAGGCTTCCTGAGACCCTCACCAGAAGCAGATGCTGGCACACACTTTTTGTACAATCTGCCAAACTGTGAGCCAAATAAACCTTTTTTCTTTATAAATTATTCACTCTCAGGTATTCCTCTATATGTAAGTAATTGAAGTTTGCAATTTTTTTTTTTTATGAGACAGAGTCTTGCTTTGTCACTCAGACTGGAGTGTAATGGTGCGATTTCGGCTCACTGCAACGTTAGCCTCCCAGGTTCAAGCAATTCTCCTGCCTCAGCCTCCCAATTAGCTGGGACTACAGGCTCCCGCCACCATGCCCAGCTAATTTTTTTTTGTATTTTTAGTAGAGACTGTGTTTCACTATATTGGCCAGGCTGGTCTTGAACTCCTGACCTCGCGATCCGCCCGCCTCAGCCTCCCAAAGTGCTGGGAGTATGGGTGTGAGTCACCACGCCTGGCTGCAGTTTACTTCTAAAAACATTATGTTATATTGGGGAGTAGAAAAAGCTGTGTTGGGTAAATGTGACAGAATTTTTTTTTTTTTCTATGTGGCTCTTTGCCTTGTGCTTACCTGGGCAATGCATACACTTAATTATGGCCTGTGGTGCCATCTTGCTTATGTAGTTTGTGTAATTTTATAAGTTAGGTTTGGAAAGTATATTTATCTGAGTCTGTAAAGTAATGTGTTATTTTTATTTCTTTCAGTAATGTGTTCTCATTTTGCCCAAGAGTTTTGGCCAGAGCAGAACATAAAAGATTCTTTTGAAAAAGTGGCACTGAGAAGATATGAAAAATGTGGAAATGATAATCTTCAGTTAAAAGGCTGTAAAAGTGTGGATGAATGTAAGGTGTACAAAGGAGGTTATAATGGACTTAACCAATGTTTACCAACTACGCAGAGCAAAATGTTTCAATGTGATAAATATGTGAAAGTCTTTAATAAATTTTCACATTCAGATAGACATAAGATAAAACATGTGGAAAATAAACCTTTCAAATGTAAAGAATGTGGCAAATCATTTTGCCTTGTTTCACACCTAACTCAACGTAAAAGAAATTATACCAAGGTGAATTTCTGCAAATGTGAAGAATGTGAAAAAGCTTTTAACCAATCTTCAAAGTTTACTAAACATAAAAGAATTTATACTTGTGAGAAACTCTACAGATGTCAAGAATGTGACAAAACTTTTAACCAATTCTCAAACCTTACTGAATATAAAAAAGATTATACTCGAGAGAAGCCATATAAATGTGAAGAATGTGGCAAAGCCTTTAACCAGTCCTCACACCTTACTACACATAAGATAATTCATACAGGAGAGAAACCCTACAAATGTGAAGAATGTGGCAAAGCCTTTAACCAGTTCTCAAATCTTACTACACATAAAAAAATTCATACTGGAGAGCAACCCTACATATGTGAAGAATGTGGCAAGGCTTTTACCCAATCCTCAACCCTTACTACACATAAGAGAATTCATACTGGAGAGAAACCCTACAAATGTGAAGAATGTGGAAAAGCTTTTAACCGATCCTCAAAACTTACTGAACATAAAAACATTCATACTGGAGAGCAACCCTACAAATGTGAAGAATGTGGCAAAGCTTTTAACCGATCCTCAAATCTTACAGAACATAGGAAAATTCATACTGAAGAGAAACCCTACAAATGTAAAGAATGTGGCAAAGCTTTTAAACACTCCTCAGCCCTTACTACACATAAGAGAATTCACACTGGAGAGAAGCCCTACAAATGTGAAGAATGTGGCAAAGCTTTTAACCGATCCTCAAAACTTACTGAACATAAGAAACTTCATACTGGAAAGAAACCCTACAAATGTGAAGAATGTGGCAAAGCTTTTATCCAATCCTCAAAACTTACTGAACATAAGAAAATTCATTCTGGAGAGATACCCTACAAGTGTGAGGAATGTGGCAAAGCTTTTAAACACTCCTCATCCCTTACTACACATAAGAGAATTCATACTGGGGAGAAACCCTACAAATGTGAAGAATGTGGCAAAGCTTTTAGCCGATCCTCAAAACTTACTGAACATAAGATAATTCATACTGGAGAGAAACCCTATAAATGTGAGAGATGTGACAAAGCTTTTAACCAATCTGCAAACCTTACTAAACATAAAAAAATGCATACTGGAGAGAAACTCTACAAAACTGGAAGGTGTGACAATGCTTTTGACAACGCCTCAAACTTTTCTAAATATAAAGGAAATCATACTGGTGAAAAATTCTAGAAATGTAAAGAATGTGTCAAAGATTTTAAATGGTTTTCACACTTCATTGTATGTAAGATAATTCATACTGGAGAAAACTACAAGTGTGAAGAATTTGGCAATACTGTTAATTACGGCTCAAACCTTATTGCACAGGAAAGCATTTATACTTAAGAAAAATTGTACAAATATAAAGAATGTAAAGTAGCCATTAATATCTGTTGACATCCTAATATCAGAATGTTGGTACTTAATAAAAGCATTATAAATGCAATTACTGTCTAAAGATTTTAAGAAAATATAAGCCATTAAAGTGAAGAAGAGTATTCATTTTGAAGACAAAGGTTATAAACATAAAAAGGGTTGTAGTACATGTACTGGTATCACAAATCTTACCATACACATTTTGTACTAGAGAAAAACTGAAGCAGTTGCTCAAACTTTTTTCAACATCAGTGAATCTATATGGGAGAAAAACTCTGCATATTTTCTCAAAAGAAAAATGAAAAGCAGATTTTTTCAAAATCTAGAAAAGCATATTTTTTCAAAATCTGTAGCTTAGAAAACATCTAGAGTTAATACTAAAATATGTTTTTGCAGGCCAGGCATGGTGGCTCACGCCTGTAATCCCAGCACTTTGGGAGGCCAAAGTGGGTGGATCACCTGAGGTCAGGTGTTTGAGACCAGCCTGGCCAACATGGTGAAACCCTGTCTCTACTAAAAATATAAAAATTAGCCAGGCATGGTGGTGGGTGCCTGTAACCCCAGCTACTCAGGAGGCTGAGGCAGGAGAATCGCTTGAACCAGGGAGGCAGAGGTTGCAGTGAGCCAAGATCGCACCATTGCACTCTAGCCTGGGCGACAAGAGTGAAACTCTCTCTCTCTCTCTCTCTCTCTCTCTCTATATATATATATATATATGTATTTTTTTGCAGATGTAAAACTATTCTAAAATTAAGTCTATGTAAATGTCAGATAACTCACAGTAGCAATATCTAAGGCACTTCAGACATTACAGTAAATCAGTGCTGAGTATAAAAAATAATCCAGGCCGGGCGCGGTGGCTCAAGCCTGTAATCCCAGCACTTTGGGAGGCCGAGACAGGCGGATCACGAGGTCAGGAGATCGAGACCATCCTGGCTAACACAGTGAAACCCCGCGTCTCTACTAAAAAATACAAAAAAACTAGCCGGGCGAGGTGGCGGGCACCTGTAGTCCCAGCTACTCGGGAGGCTGAGGCAGGAGAATGGCGTAAACCCGGGAGGCGGAGCTTGCAGTGAGCCAAGATCCTGCCACTGCACTCCAGCCTGGGTGACAGAGCGAGACTCCGTCTCAAAAAAAAAAAAAATAATAATAATAATAATCCAGAACTAGAGTTGGTAGATAAATTATTTGTGTATAACTTTAAAAGATGTAAAAAATTTCTTGAAAAGTTATAATTACATTGAAAGTATACTTTTTTCCTTAAAAAATAGAGATTGTTTGCAACATGAATAACGTAATTCAACTCTCAAATTACTTCTTGCTCTTCTTCATTTGTATTCACATATAAAAACTTGTGACTAATTGTTGCTACATCAGAGATATAATTTTTTTTTATTAGGTGGGCGTTATGATCTTTATGGAAGGGTAAGAACATTAAAATGTAAGACATGATAAAAATCTAAGTGGAGAGGCTCTTTATTAATATAAGTGACACATGAAGTAGGTGTTCAGAGTAATCTGCATTATAGTGAGAAAACATTTTAAATTTTAGTTAAAATTAGTAAATTACTAATTGTACTTTTATGTAATAAAATGTACATTCTTAAAATTTTAAATTATGTGTGAACAATATTTTATTAAAATTTTATTTAACATGTTTATAAAATTGTGCATTTAATAAAGTTATTATGCCACTAATTTTAACCTATTTCACCTTACTCAAGGGTGTAGGCAAAAGATGGTACCATACTCTTTGGTAACATAATGGACTAACATTTCTAGTAATCCCCTTTGCCAGTGACTTTAAACTGCAAGGAGGTTAAAGAATATTGTTCCCATAGGTTAAATATTTATTTCTTATTTAAATTTATACTTTTTAATTTTTGTGGATACATTGTGTATATGCCATATATAGCATATTTTGATACAGACATATAATATGTAATAATTACATCAGGGAAAATTAAGTATCCATCATCTCCAGCATTTATCCTTTGTATTATAAACCAACTCTACAGTTTTAGTTTTTTTTAATGTAGGATTGTTATTGACTACAGAGCTATTTTTATGGTTATACTAAAAATTGTATAGAAGTGTAAATAAAGTCCATACATTCTGAGTCCTAAATAAACATTAAAATGTTATATATTTTTGAACATGTGGCTTCTCTGCCTGCAAACACGTACAGTTTTGATTTACATAAAGTTAAGTATATACATACATTTAAGTTAAACCCTAGGTGTAAGAAAATTATGGAGTAAGTAGGCATGTTTTGTGTGAATATAAATTTGTACCTATTTTCAGAAGAAAAGAGCAATATTGGAAGAAAACATTTTAGTAAGTTAATTTACTAGAAAACTATAAACCTCAAAAATGCTGAAAGCAAATCTATACTCTTTCTACTGAATTACTGTAAAATAGTATGGCTTATGGATTCAAAATCTGCTTATGCAAATTTTGCTTTTGCTTGATTGGTACTCATGCTAGGCCCACTTTTTTTGTTGTTTCTTGTAATTTTTTTCTTTTATAGTTTATGGGGTTTTCATTAGGTGAAGTGGTCAAAGATATACCCTATTTTTATAAAATTTAGTAGGGCACACAAAATAATTTTAGATGTAATGACACGATCAGTGTATTGTTTCATTGAATTAAAACTTTCTATTTTGTTCTTTTAATTGAAGAACCTAATGTAAGCCTACTTTAGTTATTATTCCTTTCACTTTTTATAATTGACAGAAGTAAATTTGTTGATTGAGCCAGTTCAGGTATTGGGGGAACCCGCCCCCAGTATTTCAATATAGGTTATTTCTGTTTTCCATAAGTGTCAGCCAGCTGAGAAAGAGAGACAGTACAAAGAAAGGAATTTTATAGCTAGGCCGCCAGGGGTGACGTCACATATCAGTAGGACCGTGATGCCCGCCTGAGCAGCAAGTCTTTTATTAAGGGTTTCAAAAGGGGAGGGCATGTAAGAACAGAGAGTAGGTAAAAAGATCACATGCTTCAAAGAGCAAAACACTGATAAGGGTCTAACAAAGATCACATGTTTCTGAGGGAACAAGGCAATGGGCAAAAGCAGAACCACTGATAAGGGTTCAACAAAGATCACAGGGCAAAGGGCAAAAGCAGAACCACTGATAAGGGTCTATGTTCAGCAGTGCACGTGTTGTCTTGATAAACATCTTAACAGAAAACAGGGTTCGAGAGCAGAGAACCAGTCTGACCACAAATTTACCAGGGTTGAGTTTTCCCAACCCTAGTAAGCCTAAGGGTTCTGCAGGATACTAGGGCTTATCTCAGTCCTTAACTGCACAAGACAGACATTCCCAGAGTGGCCGTTTATAGACTTCCCCCCAGGAATGCATTCTTTTCCCAGGGTATTAATATTCCTTGTTAGGAAAATAATTTAATGATATGTTTCTTACTTGTACGTCCATTTAGAGGCCCTCTGCAAGAAAAAAAAAAATATGACTCTTTTTACCCAACCCCGCAGGCAGTCAGCCCTTGTGGTTGTCTTCCCTTGTTCCATAAAAATTGCTATTCTGTTCTTTTTCAAGGTGCACTGATTTCATATTGTTCAAACACACGTTTTACAATCAATTTGTACAGTTAATTATCACAGTGGCCTTGAGGTGATGTGCATCCTCAGCTTACAAAGATAGCAGGATTAAGAGATTAAAGACAGGCATAAGAAATTACAAAAGTATTATATGAGAACTGATAAATGTCCATATTAAGATGAAATCAACAATTTATGTTCCTCTGCCACGGCTCCAGCTGGTCCCTCTGTTCGGGGTCCCTGACTTCCAATAACATTCAGGTAAGTACTAAGGAGGCTTCATAAGTCATGAGGATGTTTTAATATATAAATGTAGCAAAAAACATGACAGTGCTTGCTGAGTAACATGTTTTATAATCTATAAATATTCCTGCTAGAGTTAGTTTGTAACTTTAAGTCAGAGATGTAAAATATAAATGATAAAGAAAAAACATTGATTCTTTATGTGGAGAGGATCTTTTTTTAGGCAGCAAACTGGAATCTTGCTGAATATAAAGCAAAATTCTGCTTCTTTTATTTTCCAGTTATCTTCAGTTCTGTTTGTCTTATTATGTGTTTTTCAACTATGTATGGCATCACAGCCCTTCTTTTTTTCTCTCTCTCTTTTATAGCTACAATTTTCTCAGTTTTTTTAATGCCATGTCATTTCACATGCTACTTTGTAGGTTTTGATGAGAAAATTGGTATTTTTAATACACTTGAAAAATTGTTTTTTTGGCCAGGCGCGGTGGCTCACACGTGTAATCCCAGCACTTTGGGAGGCTGAGGTGGGCAGATCATGAGGTCAGGAGTTTGAGACCAGCCTGGCCAATATGGTGAAACCCTGTCTCTACTAAAGATACAAAATAGCCAGGCAGGGTGGCATGTGCCTGTAATCCCAGCTACTCAGGAGGCTGGGGCAGGACAATCGCTTGAACCCAGGAGGCGGAGGTAGCAGTGAGCCGATATTGTGCCATTGCACTCCAGCCTAGGCAACAAGGCGAGACTCTGCCGCAAAAAAAAAAAGAAAGAAAAATTAATTTTAACTGGAGAGTTTGCTTATCAATGTAAGTGTTTTGTTTTGTTTTTCTGAGAAGGAGTCTCACACTGTCACCAGGCTGGAGTGCAGTGGCACGATCTTGACTTGCTGCAACCTCCACCTCCCTAGTTCAAGCGATTCTCCTGCTTCAGCCTCCCAAGTAGCTGTGACTATAGGCATGCACCACCACGCCTAGCTAAGTTTTGTCTTTTTAGTAGAGATGGGGTTTCACCATGTTGGCCAGGATGGTCTCGATCTCTTGACCTCATGATTTGCGTGCCTCAGCCTCCCAAAAGTGCTGGGATTACAGGCATGAGCCACCATGCCCAGCCCAAACACCTGCCTTTTTAGTGTCTCTCATACCATTACCATCTGTAATAAATAAATGTGTATTTATTTTGTAGAACATTAGATTTTGAAGTATATATACATTGTCAAATGCTTAATTTTATTTAATGCTTCACAGTTAACTTTTTTTGTGGTGAGCACATGATACTGTCTTAATTTTTTTTTAAAATGCAAATACATTA